CCTATCCCCGCCTGGAAAAACATACCGATGATAGCCATCATCGCCAGTCTTCCGTTTGCAATTTCGGCATTGAGCTTCTTGGTTTTCTCAGCCGGGTCAGCCGCGGTCAACACCTTGAATCCAAAGTCTCCAGCATATGCATCAGTTCCTGGGGTCTGTTCCTGGGAGACTTCGCAGAAAGCCATGTAGGCCAAGATCTGACCCCATCCTCCAGGGTTGGCATATGGGCTTCTAAACTATGCCAACCCACATAAACCAGCAAAACACATCTTATAGTGTATGTCTAGTGAGCAGTATATCTATCGTGCATCCACAAACATCTCAACCAACTTCAACTTATGGCAAATATATATATACATGAATATGTGTGTATATATATACATATACATTTACATATACATATATACATATACATATATATATATATACAATTATATACATATACATATACATATTTATATGGTATATTCGGATATATGTGGCTTTGATGTTCAGATGGAGCCAGTTGTTTCAACCCTGTCCTGCAGCTGGGACCTTTGAGATGGCAGCCAAACCATTAGGCACATCGGCAAACTTCAAACCAGCTGATGGAGATAAGTAGCCAGGGAATTTGCCAGTGATCTCCTGGGGATTGTTTCATCGGGATGCATTCAAAAACAAACTGCCAGTAGATCCCGCAACTATACAGTGTAATTGCAGAAATGGAAACGTTAACAAAAACATACGTTACTGAAACGATCTTAAACGCAGCTTCAGCAAATCCAAGTCACTGGGGTGATGTATCCCATGGTGGCCAACATCGAAATGCGACCATGCTTGATCTCGGTAGCACGACGTCGCTTGAAGTCCTCCACGCTTCCGTCGGCCGTGAAACCTGCGGGATCCCAGAAACCCACGGGCGCCTGCACGCCGAGTTCATTCTCGAAGGCGCGCAAAGGAGATGCTGTGTAGTTGGCCCAGTCTCCCCAGGCGCTTCCGGTCAGACCATCCTCTGGCATGGCAGTCATTGCAAGGATCAAAAGCACAGGGTGATAGTATCAAGATATCATGAAATATCAACGTTTTCATAGATGTTTCTATTGATATCGCAGTACCTATGTATATACATATATATATACTTCTTTATTTAGTTTTTTTGAATGGTATGATACAACATGATGTGATATGAAATGGTGTGACATGCACTGCTTTTGTGCATACACATTCGGTCAATAAAACGAATATCACTCATCAAATCTGCCATGTCTTTACACATGTTTCGACAGTATGATATCAAATTCATAATCTGATTTTTGTCACTACTCTTTCCAGGTACAGTCTACAACTCATCTTACTGGTAAGCGTGTGTAAATATACAAGTGACATAGCACTGTAGCATACTGTAGCGCAGTATGCTGAAACAATCTCAGACAATCAAACATGCGATGTGCACAAAATATGGCTGGCGAAAACAAACTTCAGAAACTCAGAACACACCAAGCAGAATCACACAAAGTTGTGCTTCCTTATTCAGACTCTTTGTGGTGTTTCTTTTCTTGGTGAGTTGGAACAAACAATACGCTCACAGCACCTATGCCCGCCTGGAAAAACATGCCGATGATGGCCATCATCGCAAGTCTTCCGTTTGCAATTTCGGCATTGAGCTTCTTGGTTTTCTCAGCCGGGTCAGCCGCGGTCAACACCTTGAATCCAAAGTCTCCAGCATATGCATCAGTTCCTGGGGTCTGTTCCTGGGAGACTTCGCAGAAAGCCATGTAGGCCAAGATCTGACCCCATCCTCCAGGGTTGGCATATGGGCCTCTAAACTATGCCAACCCACATAAACCAGCAAAACACATCTTATAGTGTATGTCTAGGGAGCAGTACATCTATCGTGTATCCACAAAGATATCAACCAACTTTAACTTATGACATTATATATATATATAATATATACATATATATTTATATTTAAATGATATATTTGGAAATATGTGGCTTTCATGTTCAGATGTAACCAGTTGTTTCAACCCTGTCCTGCAGCTGGGACCTTTGAGATGGCAGCCAAACCATTAGGCACATCGGCAAACTTCAAACCAGCTGATGGAGATAAGTAGCCAGGGAATTTGCCAGTGATCTCCTGGGGATTGTTTCATCGGGATGCATTCAAAAACAAACTGCCAGTAGATCCCGCAACTATATAGTGTAGTTGCAGACATGGAAACATTAACAAAAACATACGTTGCTGAAACGATCTTAAACGCAGCTTCAGCAAATCCAAGTCACTGGGGTGATGTATCCCATGGTGGCCAACATCGACATGCGACCATGCTTGATCTCGGTAGCACGACGTCGCTTGAAGTCCTCCACGCTTCCGTCGGCCGTGAAACCTGCGGGATCCCAGAAACCCACGGGCGCCTGCACGCCGAGTTCATTCTCGAAGGCGCGCAAAGGAGATGCTGTGTAGTTGGCCCAGTCTCCCCAGGCGCTTCCGGTCAGACCATCCTCTGGCATGGCAGTCATTGCAAGGATCAAAAGCACAGGGTGATAGTATCACGATATCATGAAATATCAACGTTTTCATAGATGTTTCTATTGATATCACAGTACCTATGTATATATAAACATATGTTCTTATTTATTTTTTGAATGGTGTGATACAACATGATGTGATATGAAATGGTGTGACATGCACTGCTTTTGTGCATACACATGTGGTCAATAAAACGAATATCACTCATCAAATCATATCAAATCTGCCATGTCTTTACACATGCTTCGACAGTATGATATCAAATTCACAATCTGATCATGTCACTACTCTTTCCAGGTACAGTCTACAACTCATCTTACTGGTAAGCGTGTGTAAATATACAAGTGACATAGCACTGTAGCATACTGTAGCGCAGTATGCTCAAACAATCTCAGACAATCAAACATGCGATGTGCACAAAATATGGTCACACAAAGTTGTGCTTCCTTATTCGGACTCTTTGTGGTGTTTCTTTTCTTGGTGAGTTAGAACAAACAATACGCTCACAGCACCTATGCCCGCCTGGAAAAACATGCCGATGATGGCCATCATCGCAAGTCTTCCGTTTGCAATTTCGGCATTGAGCTTCTTGGTTTTCTCAGCCGGGTCAGCCGCGGTCAACACCTTGAATCCAAAGTCTCCAGCATATGCATCAGTTCCTGGGGTCTGTTCCTGGGAGACTTCGCAGAAAGCCATGTAGGCCAAGATCTGACCCCATCCTCCAGGGTTGGCATATGGGCCTCTAAACTATGCCAACCCACATAAACCAGCAAAACACATCTTATAGGGCCAACGTCGGATTCGGAAACTTCAGCGTCGGATTCGGAAACTCCCAGGCCCTCGGATTCGGAAACTCCCTCCCCCCCGGATTCGGAAACTTTAGCGTCGGATTCGGAAACTTCCAGGTCCTCGGATTCGGAAACTTCGAAGCCCACGGATTCGGAAACTCCCTGGCCCTCGGATTCGGAAACTTCCTGCCCCAGGGATTCGGAAACTTCGAAGCCCACGGATTCGGAAACTTCCAGGCCCTCGGATTCGGAAACTTGCTGCCCCCCCGATTCAAAAAAAACTTCCTGGCCCTCGGACTCGGAAACTTGCTGCCCCCCGGATGCGGAAACTTTGAAGCCCACGGATTCCGAAACTTCCAGGCCCTCGGATTCGGAAACTTGCTGCCCCCCGGATTCGGAAACTTTGAAGCCCACGGATTCCGAAACTTCCAGACCCTCGGATTCGGAAACTTGCAGGCCCTCGGATTCGGAAACTTCGAAGCCCACGGATTCGGAAACTTCCAGGCCCTCGGATTCGGAAACTTCCAGGCCCTCGGATTCGGAAACTTCAAGGCCCACGGATTCGGAAACTCCGTGGCCCTCGGATTCGGAAACTCCCTGCCCCCCGGATTCGGAAACTTCGAAGCCCGCGGATTCGGAAACTGCCAGGGCGTCGGATTCGGAAACTCGCTGTCCCCCGGATTCGGAAACTTCGAAGACACGGATTCGGAAACTTCCAGGCCCTCGGATTCGGAAACTTCAAGGCCTTCGGATACGGAAAGTTGCGGCTCCCCCCGGATTCGGAAACTTGAATTTGGGATTTAGAAATAGCATTGGTGTGGAAACTCCCAGTGCCGAGATCTCAAAAAAAAACAAACTGCATTGTGGAAAAAAGAACATTCCGGATGTAGTTCGTCGGATTGATCTGAAAATGCAAACTGATCTCCTATATGTATAGACTCACTGATGCAATCCGAATGGTTGATCATACACGAATCCAATGTATCCCAATATTGACTGGTGTTTCCCATCATTGGGAATCACTTACATGCAAGTGCAGCTGATGCATTGTCAAACTTACAGCAGCAGGATTTATACCAACGATCACTTGACGCAAACAGTGAGAATGCGGAAGCTTTGCACGGAAGCTTTGGGGGGGGAAGTTTAGAAAAATGACTTGCAATGGTGACAAGAACTCTATGCAAGGGAAGGATGTGCATTGAGGACTACCATTGCATGCAGAGCTTTGGGGGGGGAAGTTTAGGAAATGACTTGCAATGGTGACAAGAACTCTATGAAAGGGAAGGATGTGCATTGAGGACTACCCTTGCATGCAGAGCTTTGGGGGGGGGGAAGTTTAGAAAATGACTTGCAATGGTGACAAGAACTCTATGCAAGGGAAGGATGTGCATTCAGAAATACCATTGCATGCAGAGCTTTTAGGGGGGGAAGTTTAGAAAATGACTTGCAATCGTGACAAGAACTCTGTGAAAAGGAAGGATGTGCATTGAGGAATACCATTGTATGCAGAGCTTTGGGGGGGGGGAAGTTCAGAAAGTGACTTGCAATGGTGACAAGAACTCTATGAAAGGGAAGGATGTGCATTGAGGAATACCATTGTATGCAGAGCTTTGGGGGGGGAAGTTTATAAAAATGACTTGCCACCGTGACAAGAACTCTATGCAAGGGAAGGATGTGCATTGAGGACTACCATTGCATGCAGAGCTTTGGGGGGGGAAGTTTAGAAAATGACTTGCAAAGGTGACAAGAACTCGATGAAAGGGAAGGATGTGCATTGAGGAATACCATTATATGCAGAGCTTGGGGGGGGAAGTTTAGAAAATGACTTGCAATGGTGACAAGAACTCTATGCAAGGGAAGGATGCGCATTCAGAAATACCATTGCATGCAGAGCTTTCGGGTGGGAAGTTTAGAAAATGACTTGCAATGGTGACAAGAACTCTATGCAAGGGAAGGATGCGCATTCAGAAATACCATGGCATGCAGAGCTTTTCGGGGGGAAGTTTAGAAAATGACTTGCAATCTTGACAAGAACTCTATGAAAGGGAAGGATGTGCATTGAGGAATACCATTGTATGCAGAGCTTTGGGGGGGGAAGTTTATAAAAATGACTTGCAACCGTGAGAAGAACTCTATGCAAGGGAAGGATGTGCATTGAGGACTACCATTGCATGCAGAGCTTTGGGGGGGAGGGGAAGTTTAGAAAATGACTTGCAATCGTGACAAGAACTCTGTGAAAGGGAAGGATGTGCATTGAGGACTACCATTGCATGCAGAGCTTTGGGGGGGGGAAGTTTAGAAAATGACTTGCAATCGTGACAAGAACTCTGTGAAAGGGAAGGATGTGCATTGAGGACTACCATTGCATGCAGAGCTTTGGGGGGGGAAGTTTAGAAAATGACTTGTAATCGTGACAAGAACTCTGTGAAAGGGAAGGTATGCATTGATGACTACTATTGCATGTAGGGCTTTGGGGGGGGAAGTTTAGAAAATGACTTGCAATGGTGACAAGAACTCTATGCAAGGGAAGGATTTGCATTGAGGAATACCATTGCATGCAGGGCTTTGGGGGGGGAAGTTTAGAAAATGACTTGCAACCGTGAGAAGAACTCTATGCAAGGGAAGGATGTGCATTGAGGACTACCATTGCATGCAGAGCTTTGGGGGCGGGGAAGTTTAGAAAATGACTTGCAATCGTGACAAGAACTCTGTGAAAGGGAAGGATGTGCATTGAGGACTACCATTGCATGCAGAGCTTTGGGGGGGGGGAAGTTCAGAAAATGACTTGCAATGGTGACAAGAACTCTATGCAAGGGAAGGATTTGCATTGATGACTACTATTGCATGTAGGGCTTTGGGGGGGGAAGTGTATAAAAAGACTTGCAATGGTGACAAGAACTCTATGCAAGGGAAGGATGTGCATTGAGGAATACCATTGCATGCAGAGCTTTGGGGGGGGGAAGTTTAAAAAAAGACTTGCAACCGTGAGAAGAACTCTATGCAAGGGAAGGATGTGCATTGAGAAATACCATTGCATGCAGAGCTTTTAGGGGGGAAAGTTTAGAAAATGACTTGCAATCGTGACAAGAACTCTGTGAAAAGGAAGGATGTGCATTGAGGAATACCATTGTATGCAGAGCTTTG